AAATAAAAGGCAGTAGAAGAAGAATACATTTTATATCTGCCCGTTTTATGCCCAAAATATGTCCAAAGGAAAAGTAAATAACAACAAAAATCAAAACAACTGAAAACACTCAAAAAACCCTAAAATAAAATTTAAAACACCAACTCAAACAACAATTTGCATGAATATACTTCACCATAAATAAATCCTGGCAATATCCAAAAATAAAATAATAAAATCTAAGGTATTTGCAAAAATAAACACAAATACAAATGAGAAAAGGACAGTAAGTTTGAGACAGCTGCAACAAATAACCCCGTAAATGCTCATAAGTTGATCACTGCTGACGTCATGAGCTTGAAATGACTACTGCGCATGCGCCTGAAACGGAAGTTGGTGGTTGCTTAGGAACGCCGCACCATTGGTTAAGTCGTTAAGTCAGCGGGCATTTCAGCAAGGTAGAAATGATTTAAATGCTGTTTTTGTGACATTTCATTACATTTTTTAAAAAACAGCTTTCATATTGTAGTTTTACTGACGTCTTAACGTGACAGTTGCAACGCTGGTGTCCTGGTTTGTCACCGGAAAAAGGTACTTTTTATTTAATGCTATTTAGAGGTTTCTGTTTGTCTTCTAATTTGTAAATGACACGTTTTTATGTTCTCAGTCGCTGTAGGAGTTTGTTTATTCATTTTTTTTCTGGTCGCAACGTGACTAACCTAACTGTCAACATCAATAATAACTTTGAAAGGCACTTCTTGTAAACATGCTAACACCTGATCACGTGACAGGCACGATGCAGAGTTCATCAGAAGAGAGGCAGCGTGACGATGATGATGCTGAGTCTGGGGATGAAGAGGCCGCTGGAACGAGTCATCCACTTCCTGCCCAGGTCTGATGAAACACTCCGTTTATGTTATTTTATTTCTGCACTTTTTATCCATTTATGAAGTTATGTRGGACAATCCTGCTTCTAAATGCAAAACATCAACAGGATACTCAGACTGGTGCATAATGTGTTATTCAGCTAGAACTGTGGAAAACAATACACAATGTGCAACCTGCTGTCAAACTGGTATACTTTTGTTTGGTTTTTTTTTTGGTGACACACAGGATTTATTGGCAACTGGGTCTGATGTCCTGGACCCCCAGCCTGACTCTGATCTCTGTATGGCAGGTAAATAACCCCCCTACACTAACTTGGTTTATTTCAGTGTTAAAGTAACTAAGTACAAATACTTTGTTACTGTACTTAAGTAGAAATTTTGGTTATCTGTTCTTGAG